CTAGTTGCTGCCAGAGTCACAGTGGATGACTCTGCTTAGTGCTTAACTGTTTAAAAAAGCCTCTAAAGGAGGAGGCAGGAGAACCACGTGCCTCATCTAGTCTGACTTTATGATCACTCGAGCAGAATTAAGCAAGGGTTAAAAGCCGAAAAACTCCTTATGTAGATGAGGTTCTCTTGCCTCCTCCTGTAGAGGGCGGTTTTTTAGAGGCTTTTTTAAACAGTTAAGCAGAGTCATCCATTGGGGACTCTGGCAGCAACTAGCCCAGCCTGACCTCGGGCAAAAGAAAGAAAACACTTTAGACATTGGGATGTTGGGGGAAAGGACTGCCTCACCAGCCATAAACCTCACCGCACGTCACTGTATAAATGATTTCTGATGTGCTATGTTTTTCATTCTTTAAAAAAAAAAAATCTATACTGGTCTTTTGTGATTTTGCTCTCATTTTTCTTATACTTGTTTTGAGCATGTTATTGGAGTCAGTACAACCTTGAGGCAGGCTTCTGAGAATGAAAAACAGAATTAGGAATGGCGATTTTTAAGAAGGCCAAAATATACGTAAATTATAATTAAGACAATGTTACAGTGGAGGAAGATGAAACATGCCAGCTCTTGGACCAGGATCCAGCCTATAGTTACCAGGGATTTATTGCAGTAAAGTTGTGCTTTCTATTAAAAATGCTTGCTGAAAATGTGGGATTGTTCTTTCTCAAGTTGATTTCCCAAAGCACTAACCAAACATAATGGATGTCGTGCAACCAGTTCTTTCTATCATCTAGTAACATGCAGAAACAATCACAGCTGATTTTCTATTTTGAAAAGCACCAATCTTGGACCAAAAAAAATTCAGTGGGTAGCAGTTTATGTCATATAGTGTTTGGATCCTACAGGCAGTGGCAAAGAGAATAATTGGATGTCAGCTGCTGTTTTATAGGCAGAACGTGAAGGAGAAAGTTATAATCTCATAGAGAACTGTCCGTTGTGCTGAAGTTTGCTTGCTACTTTTACAATTGATTTTTTTTAAAAATATTGTGGTTTGCTTTCAAATAAAAGCCTGCCGACTCTAATCATCCATCCATAATGGAAGCAAAGCAAATATATTTGCCTTGAGAATGGGAAATCTCTATCTATCTATCTATCTATCTATCTATCTATCTATCTATCTATCTATCTATCTATCTATCTATCTATCTATCTATCTATCTATCTGAAACATCCATTATTAATTAAACTACAAATACTAACAAAACCAAATCTGAGACAATAGATTTTAAAAAACTAAATTAGAAAATCTGTTTGAATAAACCCCTATTTGCAGATCCCTATTTCACTGTTAATGTAGTAGAACACTGATAGTAGATATCTATAGGATTCGAAAGGGATAGTAATAAAACCTCTTCTTTACATGTCACAGAATTGTTGAGGTTGTCTAGTAAAGAAATTACTTGTTTTCTTTGGTTTAGCTGTGATGATTTTCAATTTAGATCTAATGTGTTCTGTTTTCTTCCTGGGCCTAGTTTGTTTATATTTAGTAGGTTTAGAGTGAGATATTTTGTAAATCCCTGATCTTGGAGTTGGCAAGTCCTGAAAAGACAGAAAAACTGTGGAGGGAATGTGTAAAAGCAGGCGATATAGATACTAGAAACAGCAACCATTAAATAAAAGTGATTGTATTCATTTGAAGCAATCATCTAATTAACTGGCTATGATTCAATTCACAGCTAAATCACTTAGCTCAATGGTCTCACCTCCTCCTACCTTCTAAAGCAATTTCTTATTTTGCTTCTCAAAACAGCACAGCTAAATACAGCGTGGTGACATTTCTACCTCGATTCCTGTATGAACAAATTAGAAAAGCTGCAAATGCTTTCTTCCTCTTCATTGCCTTACTGCAGGTACGTCTATGTTGAAGTAAAACAACTGTATGCATAGCTTAATTTAATACAGGTGAGCAGGTGAGCAGTCTGTGACTACCAACTCTTGTACCAGTGATGACGTTGCACAATGCATAAGCATCAGAAGTGGTATTCTGCAGGTTCTGACCAGTTCTGGAGAACCAGTAGCAGAAATTTTGAATAGCTCGGAGGACCGGTAAATACCACCTCTGACTGGCCCCACCGCCATCTATTCTCTGCCTCCTGAGTCCCAGCTGATTGGGAGGAAATGAGGATTTTGCAGTAACCTTCCCCAGCCACACCCACCAAGCCATGCCATGCCCACCAAGCCACGCTAACAGAAACAGTAGTAAGTTTTTTTGAATCCCACCACTGATAAGCATATACTTTAATCATGCATGATGAACTCAGTGTAGTCCAACAAATGTATGTAGATCATTTGTCCATTTTATGCTGAATCATAATGGTATTGGTAAATTGAATGTATAATAATAATGTTTTTAGCCTATTGTTATACAAAACGGGGAGGTAGATGGCTCAGCGGTTAAGGCACAATGGCTTGTCAACTGGAAAGCCCGGGTTTGAGACCCGAGTGCCTTGCGATGGGGTGAGCTTCTGTTCTTCACCCCAGCTCCTGCCAACCTAGCAGTTTGAAACTATGCAAATGTGAGTAGATAAATAGGTAGTGCTTTGGCGGGAAGGTTGCTGCATTCTGTGTTTTCATGTAGTCCACATGATGACAGAAGCATCTCTCCGACAATACAGGATCCCTAAACTGAGAATCAGAGGAGAGCACTATCTCCTTCAGTCAGTTAACACTGGGCAGGGGAAACCTTTAAACCTTTTATACGTGACAGTATCAAAGGAGGAAATAGCAATCTTAATTAAAACCAGTCCTAACGAAAACCAGAAATATTGGAAACCGCAGTCTTATCCAAAAGCAGACTTGGAATTTGGATTTTCCAATATAGGTTCAACAATTAAAGCTGAAGCTCAGAATTTCTATGGGTTAGAGAAAATAAAGAGGCAGCAGTCATTTGATAGTAATCCCAGCCAATCATGAATCACTCATTAATTAACAAATAATGGGAGTCAGTCTTGTACATTCTAATACTTTTTTGGTGTGTGTATTTCCTGATTTTGGGGCCTCAGTTGTTACGAAGTAGAATTCTTCTCACTTCTGATAGCTAACTGGGCTGGGATGATGTGGGCTGCAGTTTAACAACATCAGGAAATCTAACTGTAGAAAAAAATGGCCTAGAGCTTTGAGCCTTGATCACACATAATCCAACATAATTACTTTACTTAGGCCCCAATATTATAGGCTAATGTCACTTCTTAGTATGGACAGGGTCACTTAGAGCAACTGCAGATAGAGGATGTTTACATCCTAAATATTTTATAAATTTCTGCCCAAATGATTCTGTCAAATCATATTTTTCCAACTTTGGATCCTTGGCAAGATAAATCAGCAGAGAAGGGGGATTATTCTGAGTGCTGAAATTAAGACATGACACTATTTTTATTTTGTAATATATATTTTTACTTCAGCATTGCCACTCTCTTTCTTTGAATACTTTTCTAAATATATACATTTCTTTTTCAGCAAATTCCAGAAGTCTCTCCAACTGGAAGATATACCACCTTGGTTCCCTTTCTATTAATTCTAACAGTTGCTGGCATCAAAGAAATCATAGAAGATTATGTGAGTATACATTTAGATTTTGGAAGAAATGTCTGTCCCTTTGCAATATAGCAAGAAACATTCAGATGTATAAAACTTCTTAATTTCCATGATTACTCAAGTCACTTTAATAGTTTCACTTTAAGACAATGTGATAGTAAAGATTAAAATGTGAAACAATATTTTTAATTTTAAAAAATAACAATACAACAAGATAAACTAGGAGTGTACTACCTTGAAGATTAGAAAATAATTACAGGTAGTCCTCAACTTAGGACTGGTCACTTAGGGGCTTCTCAAAAGTATGATGAAACTCCGTGGGGATAATATTGCAACATATGGAAAGGTTTCATGCTATAAAGAAAAGTTTTGTAGAATTTTATATATGAAATTCTGCTATGCTATGCAGAAATGCAATGAAAGGACAGTTCTTCATCACTTGTACAAATTGTTTTAATGCTAAGTTAGCCAAAAATATATTACTGAAGATATTCAATATATTAGATATTCAGTATATCAGAATATCAAATATTACTGGAATAAAATTCCCATCAACCTTGGTTGATTATATTGGCTTGGATTGATGGGAATTGGGATTCTATCTAAACCATCTGGAAGGTTATAGATCACCATTTCCTGCCCTATTCTGTGGCCCAGAAAATGATTCAACAGAGAAGGCGATCCAAGCATTTTTCATGGAAAAAGTCCTCGGGGCAATCCTCAACATTATCCGGTGGCTAAAACAACAAATAATACCATTCAGAGATAATACCATTCAGAGCAGACAGTATGGGACTAAGTAAATAAAAAAAATATATCGGTCTGAGTATAAAACCTAATGCTGCTGAACTCTGTAAGTCTATAAACTGCCTAAATGAGTCAATACCTAAGAATCAGAATTAAGCAATGGGGGGGAAAACAGGCATTTAATAAAAAGTGTATTCCTTGAACATACCACTGTATGACTGCATAAAAGATATTGGTGAAAAATCCAGTGTTACTCATTCTATGAAATTTCTTGATAAATTGGTATATGTCAGCTGGGCAGTTTCTTCTCTGAATACATTCCCTCAATTTGGGGAATCATATAGATATGATTGAATTAGGAAGGAGAGTAAAGGGAAGTAGGAGAAGGGAAGGGAAAGAGAAGGAAGGGAAGGGAAGGGGGAGCAGAGGGAAGTAAGTAAAAGTCTCCTCAGGTAATACTGAAGATTGTTTCCCCAGAATATATGGGTTTGCTAATCATTGCATACAGGAATTAAAAAGTGCTCCATCTTGAACTATAAGTAATCCTCGAATTATGAGCACAATTGAGCCCAGCGTTTCTGTTGCTAAGTGGGATAGTTAGCAATGTTTCTGTTGCTAAGTGATATAGCTGTTAAGTGAGTTTTGTCCTACTTTATGATCTTTCTTGGCACAGTTGTTAAGTGAATCACTGCAGTTGTTAAGTTAATAACACAATTGTTAAGTAAATCTGGCTTCCCCATTGATTTTGCTTGTCCGAAGGTCACAAAAGGTGGTCACGTGACCTCAGGACAGTTCAACCGCCATAAATATGAGTCAGTTGCCAAGCTCCTGAGTATAGATCATGTGACCATGGGGATGCTGCAATGGTTATAAGTGTGAAAAATGGTCATAAATGACTTTTCTAATGCTGATGTAACTTTGAATGGCCACTAAATGAACTGTTGTAAATCGAGGATTACCTGTAGAAGGATTCATACTAATGCATAGAAGAGAAAAGCTTATTTATTTGTTTATATCTGCCTTTATTATTTTTATAAATAACCTAAATTGGCTAACACATACAATACTCCTTCCTCTTATATTCCCAACAACAACAACAACCCTGTGAGGTGTTTGGGCTGAATGAGATTGACTGACTATAACTGGCTTTCATATCTAAGATGGGAGTCTCCTGGCTTTTAGCCTTAAGTACTAACCAAACTGGCTTCCCTATGCTATTAACACATACTGGAAACACCAATGAAGCTTTTATGTTTTGTCTTAATCTTTCTGCCTTTCATTCAGTTTACCCTTGAATATACCTAAATGTATGTTTGATTTTTTTATTTCTCAACAGAAAAGACATAAAGCTGACAGTACGGTGAACAAAAAGAAAGCAATAGGTAAGGCCTTGTAAGTTTGTCTCATACAAATTATATGGTAGGAAGAGTTATAGCCTCCTTAGAGGAATAATTATATTGGCAGGGTTCTGACGGATGCCCTAATGAACTCATGAGCCTCAAGCCAAGTTTCAAAAGAAATCCAGTTATTTATTAGGAGCAACATCTGAGCATGTACCCGAGTGAAGTCAGCTCTGCTCCACGTAGTTTACTACCCAACTATGAACCTGTTTCCCCCCTCCTCTCATGGTGTGTCATAAATCACATTCTCCAATGGAGCACTTTCGCAGGCTGTGGAAAATGTGCCTCTCTGGCTGGTTCTGGTAACCTGAGAATCAGCCTTGAGAAAGGTATGCATAGAATGTGTTTCTGGTCGTGGTGGTCAAGCTGGTCCATCAATTCTCCCTCTCCTGCTTATGGCAACTCGAGAGAAGGCCAGTAATGCTTTACAATTATATTTGGTTTTATTAATGTTTTGTTTACAACTAACTGCGAATAATGTGATGCCAAGTTTAAGAATTGGGAGAAAACTCCTAATTCTATAAATGGGAATAGCTTGCACTGAAAGTTGTATCTCTTGCTTTCTTACTGTGGACATTAAGGGCTGCTAATTTTCATTACCTGACTTTTATTATAAATTATGTAAGTATTTGTCATATCATGATTTGATTTGATTTGTTTTAATAATGTTTTGCCTCTGCCCTGTAGCTATGTTCTTCTGAATTGTTTGCTGTTTACCTTTTGGGATAATAGCTACAGTAATTCAGTTCTAAATGAATGAATGTGAGAAACAATTTATCGCTAGTCAGTGATTAACATCACTAGTTTCATAATTTACACCACCGTCCAGGCCTTCCGCACAGCCCTCGAGAAACTGGCTTGCCCGTCAGGCCTGGGGATAAGTCTTCTTTCCCCCCCCCCCCCCCCCCCGAATGCTGAGTGAATGTTGAGTTTTACTGTTTAATTTACTTTTGTTCACATTTCTTTTTGTATTGTCCTACACTCCCTTTCCTCTTTGATTGTAAGCCGCCCTGAGTCCCCTCAGGGAAAAGGGCGGCCTATAAATGTCCAATAAATACCAAAAATAAAAAAATAAAAATTTAATATTGTACTCTTCTGTCTAATTTATGTGGGTAGAAATAACATCAATTGGATTAAAGCATTACAACAGGGCACTGTGCTTATCTGAAAATTATCGCTTGATTTAATGACATAGACTGGCTTTATTAAGTTTCAAAGAAAGATAAAATACAAAGTAATGAAAACAAAAGATTAAAAAAGGAGGGGGGAGATCAAAGGATGAAGTTAAAAAGTAACAAAAATAAAAGAGGGAATACAAAGAAAAACTGACTTCTGACTTTCTTCAGTACACATACAAATAATCTTACTTTAAAACGTATAAACAATATACAAACTTAATAAACTATATAGCAATAGCCTATCCTAAGATTAAGCATAATCCTTAACAATGTACAATATATGTGTCTTGTATTCTATGTATTCTATGTATATAAAAGTGAAATACTCATGCATATTCATGAAATCTCCAGAACCGTAAAGCCTACAAACTTGGAATTCGACATGTATGTTCCTCTTGGCTTCTAGGTGCTCACTAAGAAAGGATTTTTCAAAATGACCATCAGATCATTAGTAGTTCTTATATTATTATTAACACGCTCTGATGCTAAGAAGTTAGACGTTCCTCACCTGAAAAGAGCTCTATTCCAGCTGCCACTTGGGCATAGGTGAGGCCAGCGCATTACTCATCTGGCTTGCAGGCAGGGAATTTAAACATTCTACTCGCCCTCCCCACCTGAAAAATACTCTGATGCTAAGGAGACATTCTACTCCCCCTCCCCACCTGAAAGGGAGAGAAGGGGATAACATAGGAGAGGCTTCTATGAGGCAAGCCTGAGAGAGAGAAGGGGATAGGAGAGGATCAATGGGGCAAGCCTGAGGGAGAGAAGGAGGATAGGATAGGAGAGGCTTCTGTGGGGCAAGCCTGAGGGAGAGGAGGGGAGAGAGATTGATCGTAACTACTCATTAATGTTCAAGCTTTAACTGTCAATTTATCAAACCCGATCACATAGTTCTGTAGCGAAGCACGGGTATCCAACTGACCAGTACACAATATTTCTACAATCATAACAAATCTAATGATCAAATCCCAAATCCAAAACTTCATTTATATCTTTGTCAAGCAAGAAATCCAAAAGTGGTACCCATATAGTAAGAAAGCTAGGTAAACTTTTATCTTTTATCAAAGTAGACAATTTTGCTATTAGTGCTAGTTCCATTAATTTCACTATCGACTCTTCATTTGTGGGAATCTGCGTATTGAATTTAATGACACTTTCTAGGTAATTTCCGTATATTCAGATCAATTCTCTTAAGTGGTTTTTAACATGGCAATCCATGCCTAAGAGAGCAGTAATAATTACAATATTGTTGCAGGCTGCAATTTTTTAATTAAGATGCACAACGTTAACAATGAAGGTTTGAAAATACAAAAATTGTTCCACTCATGAACTACAGTCTCAATTTGCAATAGCATTTTTTAAAAGTTCAAATTAACCTCAGAAAAGGGCACAATACATTAGCTACTACACCAATAATGGAGTAACAAAGACTGCTTTCTGACTCATAGGCGGCTCTTGATTCTGCCAATCAGAAATCAATATGCAGCAATGCCACTTTCTTGCCTTAATGCATGTTTTGTGGAAAGAAAGAAAATAAAAGGAAAACAGTAATGGCAAAACACAAGAGGAAAATTTTGTGAAGGAGCTTTGATTACCAATGAAAGATTTATCCAGAAGTACTCTTAAGAATGCTGCCTTGTCCTTCACTGCCAGCTCAATGAAGAAAAGACAGTCATGGTAAAGGGTCTGTTATGGCAAAATCCCTGAGTTCACATTGGGTAAGATGGAGTTATGGAATAGCAATATATGCAATAGCAATAGCACTTACATTTATATACCGCTTCATAGTGCTTTACAGCCCTCTCTAAGCAGTTTACAGAGTCAGCCTCTTGCTCCCAACAGTCGGGGTCCTCATTTTACTGACCACGGAAGGATGGAAGGCTGAGTCAACCTTGAGCCTGGTGAGCTTCAATCTGCCAAACTGCTGGCAGTCAGTGATCAGCTGAAGTAGCCTGCAGTACTGCACTCTAACCACCGTGCCAGCTTAACTTCACATAAACTTATCTAAACTATCTCAAACATCAGGAAGGCATCACTGAATTGCCCATGAAGTAGAAAATACTAAGATAGATAGACAAAGATAGATTTCAGGTCCAATGAGCAGAGGTGGCATTCAGCCGGTTATCTCCGGTTCAGGTGAACTGATGGCGGTGGCTGTGGGAGTATCCACCCCCGCCCCCCCGACATAATGCGCAACCTTCTGCGTGTGCTCCCATTTGTGAACTGGTAGGGAAGGTAAGTGAATCGCACTGCCACCATTGAGCATTTTGAAGAGAATCAATTAACTTTTTTCCTCCAACCCTGGTCCTTCTGAGTCCTTGTCATATGTTAACTTTTGATTTTAAAGAGAAAAAATTACATTTTTCTTTCCCTTCCAGTTTTAAGAAATGGAACCTGGGAGGATATCATGTGGAAGAAGGTAAGAACTATTTTTAAGATGTTCTGGGAATTTGCAATTCTTTGATGGGATGATAAATGATGTTGATCTTCTTTGTTATTTACAGCTGGGCACTGTGAATCTTATTTGAATATTTTTCCCATTGTGTATTCATTACCATTGTCAATCTCGAGAAAAGCTTATCTGTATAAATGAATATCTCTTTGAATAATGTAGATGTACATTACATAGCTCCTTGTCTGTGGCAGTCTGGAGAAGATGACATCAAACTTCTAAATGGCATCTATTATTTATTTCTGACTATCTCAGAATCTCATGTACAATTAGTGATTTTATTCTCTGAGTAAGGAAGATAATACTATCCATAAACAAAAGGAGATTTTGGAAACTCATACAATTTTAGAATCACATTGTGTCCCCTTGCCCAAAATCTGTATTCACTTAGCTGGAATTAAATTAATAGAACTGGGAGGAAAGGGAAGGGAAGGGAAGGACTCTAAAACAGGTCACATAGGGCTGGGTTCAGTGGTGGGTTTCAATCTATTTTACTACTAGTTCACGCCTGTGTGCATGCGATGCTCCTGTGCATGCGCAGAGGCGTCTGGGCGGGTGGGCGGAGCCTCCCGCCACCGCCATTACTGGTTCACCCAATCTGGATGAACTGGACTTAAAATGTTGGCATAGGGAGGAAAAAAACAAGATGAGGACTGGAATTACAGATGCTGGAACAGGCCATGATTGTCTGGCTATAACTGTGCATAGGACTGCATCAAAGTACATTTTGATGCAGATCAGATTTATAGGCTTTAAATCTCCATTCTGGTAAGCAATTAATAATGCATGTCTTAAATCTTTTGAGGAAGAGAGCCAGTAAACCAATTCGTGAAATTAACTGTATAAGGTAACACCAAGGAAGTATGTCTCCTGAAAGGAGGGAAGGGTGATACGAGACAATCTTTCCTTTCAGTTCTTGGACCATTCCAATTTTTTAATCCGGAAAGGAAGGGAATTTAAAACTGGCCACTTGGAAAAGGCAATTTTTTTTCAGTTGGAAAAAATTATACTGTTATGACTGCTGATGTAGAAAGGGATTTGTAAAGACCACTATAAATAAAATTCAACAAGAAGCAATACTTGATGCACCTTATATAACTAAGGAAAAAATATCAACACCTCAGAGAAAATTGAATTTTAAAGGTGTAAAATTATCTTCTATAGTTTTATAATAAATATGCAGCATATATAAATGCAATGAGATTATTGTTTCCAAGTGAAATCCGTATAGGGCTATGCTATTCAAATTAGTATAATCTGAATTATACTGGGTTTATGCTGGGTTTATGCTAATTAAAACCTATTCAGGATTGCAGCTTGATGGGCTGAGGTTTATTGTAATTGGGAAGTGTGGAATGCAATTATTCTCTTCTGAACATGCAACCATGGAGGTGCAGAGAGTCAGATAACCAAGAAAGGGTAGATAGAGGTAACCCAGAATTCAGGAGATGCTGCCAGATGTTGTCACTAAAGCTCAAAATGTTTAGCAAAAGATGCCAAGAACAATAAAAAGTGCTTCTTCATATATCTTCTAATAAGGTGAGGGGAACAATGCACCATATAAACCAGGGGTCCCCAACCTCTAATCCTCAGACTGATAGTGGTCTTTGGCCTGATTCACATTAATGAGAGTTTGCACTTGCATACTATATTTCTGTTGGATCATTCTTGAGCTAAACTTTTGGCAGGAGCCATTGCCTGTATCTTTCCTGGCAGTTCCTTACAGTAGTTTCCTTGAATACTTATTTATTATTTATTGGATTTCTTACCTGCTCTAGTCTTGAAACACTTGGCAGTTTGCAGTAATGAAGACCTAGAAATAAAATGTCCACGGTGAAAATGAAAACTTATTAAATCATAAATCCATAATTACAATCCCCTTGGGTGACATACACCACTCTAAGATCTCCAGATCAACTCCCGTTGTAATAGTTTGCACAGAAGACCATACCGAGGATAGAGACCTCACTTTAAGCAGGAAGCTGTTCAAAAGTGTAGGAACTCTACTGCCTAATTACATATTAATGGCAGTGTTAAATATCATTAAAAAGCAAAACCCTCTAAGGAATGTACTTAAGGGAAATGGGGAACTGTCTACGTTTTCTTCCAGGAGAAATAAACCAGACAGATTGATTTTGGTTGAAGAACATTTTGGTGATATTTTGGCACCAAGTCATTTAAGGCTTTATAGATAATGACAAGGTCCTTACACACAAAAGTATGGACAGGCGTTTGTATAGTATTTTTAGGATTGCCCATGCAGCCAATAAAGGACCTGCTGTACTCTGAACTAATTGAAGCTTCCTGGCGATTTACAAGGACTTCCATGTGGACCCTAGTTCCATTCAAGAACTGAGTAATGTTTGATGCTTAACAGACTTGCTGATCCTCAAAGATAAGTTCCTACCATATTCCCCCTCCACCCCGTTGGTGCATCTTATACACCAAAACCAGCCATTTTTGGCCTCCCGAAGCCACGCCCCCGCATCCCATTTTTGCAAAAATGAGCAAAAAATGGGCTATTTTCTTCAAAAATTGAGGTGTTTTTGCTTCCCCCCAGCTCCCAACAGCACTCTGCAGACTTCAGCAGGGTTGGGGGAAGGAAAAAACGCTTCAGCTTTTGCGAAAAACGGCCCGTTTTCCACCTGTTTTTCACAACAAGAGGGCGTTTTTGCTTTCTCGCAGCCCTGCTGAAGCCTGCAGAGTGCTCCTGGGGGCCAGGGAGGACAAAAACTTTTTTTCTTACTTATCTTTTTGAAATCTTGATGTGTCATATACACCGATGCGTCTTATAGTCTGAAAAATACGATGGCTTATTGCAGACAAAACATAAGGTATAAATGCACAGAAGATCTGCTTGATGTAGATTGCATAAATACACCTCTATCTATCAACCCCAGGATTTGAATCTTTTCTCTTGCTCTTTCTGGTCAATGGACTCCTGGCTATTGTTTTTTTCCAGGCTTGAGATTGATATGCACCTGCTCTATTTTTATACAGCAGTTCTGTGTGACTGAACAGTACTGTTTCCTGCCTCAATACTTTCATTCTTTCCTGCTTTCTGTGGAAGTGCAGTTTGCTGGCCTTACTAATGGCCTATGAGGATTTATGACAGAAGCTTTTACACCACATACATCTAAACATATAGATAACTTTTATCTGGTTCAAGAGTAAGTCTGCTTTCTTTTTAAATACTTCCAAATTAAAGTATATTAAAGCAGAACTTGGCTTAGTAGATGAAATATATCAGCACATATTGATGGCTTATAATCTAAAGTGTTGGCTGCCTCTGCTTTGCATATTATATATGATTAAGTTCCCAGGGGCTTTTTCTCAGAATTTAGAGGTAGGACTGAACATTTGTTATTTAAAGAGGACAATCTTTCGGTTTACAGATTGATAGAGCGCCAACAGTTTGCAATACATCTCTCCATGTTGAATTGAATACATCACAGTATATACACTGCAGTACTTAGGATCTCAAATCAAACTTCTTCAGTTGTTTTGGAAAAATAAGGCTATTCATTGACATTATTTTATGAAGAAAAAGACCAGTTCGGTGTGGTGAAGGCACAGATGGTTTCTTCTCAGAATATTTTACATCCTCGAAGAGCTGCAGCCTTTATTCATAGCCAAAGGATCACTTTTGAATATTACCCTTTCTTTCTTACGGAATATAAGTTATATTACTCCATGACTTTGGCAGACTATACAGCTACAGTGGTCATGCAGTTGTATCTTTAAGGGTTCATTATGTTCCTTTATTCAAACATTGTACCTTGTTGCACCTTGAATTCTGAATTCACTTGGTTATTTCTTTTTGCTTTCTGACATAAGATTGCAACCCAGTCAAAAGACTAGTGGTTCAATTTATTCAAGTAGATTCTGACAAAAGCGTAGACTTCCTCGTTTGAACTGGGACACATTAACTATTGATTGTCAATGTGACAAGCATCACATCACATCCATCTTCAGATTGTCCATTTCAGCAATTAACACAATGATTCTTATGCTCATATTGGGCGTGTGTTGCCTTCACTTGTGGTATCTTCGTTACATTCACTAACAAGGGTATATTTTTTGTAGTCCTTTCCAAGATGCTTTATTATTCTCCAAGGATGATAAATATTTTTTGTGGGTGTGCCTTTTGCTATGCTAGAACTGAGTTCTTAGGTTACACAGCTATTTCTTTAAAAGGTATTATTTCCAGTAGGCCTGTCATTGGGAATTTTAACTGCAGAAAATCCACAGATAAATGTTCTAGAACAGGGGTGTCAAACTCTCATCATCACAGCGGTATCACATGATGTACAAGGATTCCCCCCTTCGCTAAACTGGTTGGGGGTGGGGCCAGCACATGACGCACCTGGCCTGCAGGCTGTGAGTTTGACATCTAGAACTTCTCATATTTCTAAAAGTACTCCAAGTGTTCAAGACTTTCCTTAAGCCTTCAGTGGATATTACTAGCTACGGCATATCAGCAGAAGGTAAGATCAGAGCCACACCTCTTCTTTTTCATAAGGCAGAGTTTTGTGGACAGATTCTGTCTGTTCCAAGAGCAGGAAAAGGTTCTGATCTATCAGTTGATTTTCCCGCCCAATGTTGAATGTACACTGTTTTTCATTGGAACTGATTTTAGCCATGAATCTTTTCAAGGTATCATGGAAGGGGTTATCGCTTAATTTATTCCCACTCTGCTTGGCATTAAATTCACTTCACATCCTCACTATTCCATATCCCTCTTTTCTATCTAACAAGGAAAGTTTACCCAGGGTTGCAACTTAACCTTCTCCTTCTGACACTTGGAATGTATGACTTCCAAACACCAGAAGACATAAAAGCCATTTTAGATACATCCCAAAAGTATTCTATGTCGAATACTATGCAGCGAAATGTAAACATTTTAAAGTTTGCTGAACATTGGAAATTTGATCTTCTCTTACTGATGTGTCATCTTTTTTTAAACTGAGTTAAAATCTGTTTGTATTGCACTCCTGTGGACTTGTTATGGATTTGTCAGTTATCTCCATGTCTCAAGATCTTATCCAGGTTTTTTTCTCTCTTTCTCTCCGCACATGAAGATTAAATGTTTTCTCAAAGGCATGCATAACTTGCATACCCTGAAAATGATACCAGTCTCTGCCTGGAGTTTTTCTTTTGTTTTGTCTATGTTAATGAGTAGACCTCTTCAGTCACTGGAAACTTGAGCTTTTATGTAATACCATGGGAAACTGCCTCTTTAATTCCCCTCTAAGGTTTAGCAATCTATGTGCTTTATTTATTTTTATGCTTTGTAATGAATTACATTTTTTTAGTGTGAAAATGGGCCCAGTTTTTGTCAAAAAAAGGGCATGGATAGCCTTTAGGAGGCTTATAGAGTGCTCCTGGGGGCTGGGGGACAAACTTGAGCCCTTCCCAGCCCCCAGGAGCTCTCTGAAAGCCTCCAAAAAGTTATGCATGGCCATTTTGGTGAAAGGGGTGGGGTTTCAGGAGGCAAAAATGCTGTATTCAGTGTATTCACACACCCAGATTTTCAGCCTCTTTTTTGAGGGAAAAAGGTGCGTCTTATACTCCGAAAAATACAGTATATCTTCTAATTCTCCCATCAATGTTAATCCCAGAAATCATAACAAAGATGAATTTGATTACTTACAGGTACCAGAGGTTTTTCAAAAAGTCTCATGTGAATGTGACTCTATTATTGGGTTGGTCTTCAGAAATAGGAGCAGCCTCCAGAAACCCTGCTAGGACATGGTTTGACCACGGGGCTTCCATATAATGTTCATCTCTAGAAGTTTCTGATCGAGTATTAAACACTGGGAAAGGATATAATTTAAATCTCTCTAATGGACGATTTTGAAATTCTGTTCAGTAAAAGATAATTACAGTTTGCTGTAATTAATCAAGCTAATCTTCTAATATGGCATAATCTGTTCTTGAACTTTCCAGTAAGGATTTTTCCAGGGGTGAAATGCTACCTGTTCAGACTGGTTCGGTAGCTCCGATTATCAGCTGTGCAACAATCAGCTGTGCCAAATTGTGCTGATCACCGGAGCTACCAGTTCACCTGAACCAGTAGCATTTTTTAATGTTCCAATGATCAGCTGTGCAACGATCAGCTGTGCCACGCAATTAATACCATGTAGCTCAGCTGATCGACTGAGCTACATAGTAGCACCTGCAGTGCACATGCGTGCGCGAAGCAAACCGGTAGCAGACTTAAGCACATTTCACCCCTGGATTTTTCCATTCAGCCAGAGGGGGGAAAAACAGGGGGAAAAAAGTCTTGAATCTTTGTATCCAAAGCACAAAACGCACAAAACTTTAATAAAATCTCACAAATATCCTGAAAACACAATAGTAACTATAGAAGTATGTGGTCTTTACAAATAGGAATGATTTTAATGAGAAATTCCATTTCAGAACCTATGAAACTAAAACTGTAGCTATGAGTGTATTGGAAAACTTGAAAACTCTAGCTATATATTACTTGTGTGAATAAGCCCTTGTGTTTTTAAACTTGGTTAGCAGTTGTGATAAAGGTGGTAGCTTGAAGGACATTGTGTTTGGGTCTTGTTATGCAAGCTCCCCCCCCCCCTGCTTTTATTGAGCACTCAGTTTTGTAGTATTTGGAAAACTGACTTGTCTACTTAGTCAAGCCAAGTGCTCCATCTATGATGTACTGAAAGTGTAGTCAGCAAGTGAGAAAATTACCTGCTGGCCAAACTGTTTTCCAAACAAACGTGACTGAGCAAGGCATTGGTTTTTGCCAGTTTACCCTGTTCCTTAGGCTGCAAACATACAGATAAAAGATATTAGCAAGTTTCTAAGCTTTAATGGTTTCTAAGCTTTAATGGTTGTCATAAATCACTCCATTATAGAAGCAGAGTACAAGATAACACTTAAACCGAGAAACATAAATTAGATAGAAACCTGTATTCAACGAAAGATTGTGTTCGGGGGCTTGAAGCCGTCATGGACTGGATGAGGGTTAACAAGCTTGTGCTCAACCCAGAAAAGACCGAGTGGCTGTTG